GTGTGTGTATGTATATATATATATATCTATATATATCTATATATCTATATCTCCATGTCTTTTTACTGCAAGTGCACTGGAATGTCTTCACCTATATATGCGATGCCAAAGTCTACCTTAATGTTTATGCATGATTGCCCCCAATAAAGATGGACTAAATGCTTGTTTGGGACACAGTGCTCTGGATGTCATTGTCAGTGTGTTCCTTGCTTGCTGTCTTCCAATAAAGTTCCTTCTCATAAAATCATCTCCAGAGCTGCTTTTTGGTGGGCAACTACTGAACTCCTGGCTCAGTCTCAAAACTTCAAAAAATTAGCAATAGGGCCAGACACGACCCTTCCAAAATGATGGAAACAACCTTTAAGATATTCAGTATCAGACATGTGGCAGAAGAAAAGAAAGAAGACACAAAGATGAACAGGCAAACTGCCCTGTTGACAGTACTCATCCATTCAGACCCAGGTAACCTCAGGTGAGTAACCCTGGCCCCCACCATGGGACAGGTCCACAGGCTACTAAGTGGAACCAAATCAATGTGTATACTATAAGCAGGAGGGACTTTGGAAGATGACTGTCCTACTAGAGAGGGAAGACTGGAGACAAGAACAGTCCCTAAATGCCCCTTGAAGATGAAGATTGATGGGGCTGAGGGGTCCCTAGGAGGCTTCGAGAAATAAGATCAAATTCTCCCCCTGAGAAGCCCCAGGTTATCTTGGAAGTTGAAGGAAACCCAATTTAATTTTTTCTGGATATGGGAAGGACTGACTTTGTATTGACCACCCAGAAAGGCAACCTGTTTAGCAGAGGTTAAATATAAAAGGCATATCAGGAAAAAGAGAAACCAAATGGTTTCTGGAGCCTTTTACCTATGAAATAGGTTCCTGACCCCTCAACCACGCTTATATGTTCTGGAATACCCTATTCCCATACTGGGGAGAGGCTTATTTATTAAACTTGGAGAGTCAGGAAGCTTGTTTGGACATACAGTCAAGATAGAAGTCCCTAAAGACATGGATTTGGATCTCTTAATCCTCCAGGAATACCCTCAACATGCAGAAGTGCTGCCAGAGGAATTTATGTCAAAGACAGATCTCAAAATACAGGCCCAGGGCAAAATAGGGAAAATAAGGAAAGCACTTGGAACCTCTCCCATGGTAATAACCTTAAAGGAGTGGGGTAGATATCAAGCAATACCTCCTAAAACCAGAAGCTTAAAAGGGATTACACCTGTGTTAGATCACTAGCTAGAACAAGAGTTCATCCGGCCATGCCAGTCTTAATGCAACAGTCTGATTCTGCCAGTCAAGAGGCCTAGGTCAAATGAATATAGCATTGTACAAGATCTGAGGTCTGTAAAATGAAGCCACACTAAATATACACCCTGTGGCATCTAATCCCTATACCCTGTTAACAAGGATAGCAAGTGACAGTCTAAGTCTCTACTGCTTAGGATTTAAAGGATGTTTTTTTCTGTATTCTCCTGGTCTGAGAGTTCCAAAAGATATTTTCTTTTGTATAGGAAAACCTAGAAACTCACCATAAACAGCAATTTTGCTGGATGGTCTTGCCCCAAGGTTTTAAAAACTCCCCTACAATTTGGGGGGAAATCTTAAGCAGGGACCTGAAGGAACTAGTGTTGCAGCGAGCAATCTTACTACTGTATGTGGATGACTTGTTAATTTCTACTCCTTCTAAAGAGAGGACTCAGATGCTGACATAGTTAAATCTTAACTTTTTAGCCAAAAAGAGATATAATATATCCAGAGAAAAAGTACATCTGTCAAAGCCCACAATAAAAATATCTGGGCTACCTAATATCAAAAGGGAAACAACTACCTCCAGAGAAAAGGCAGCCTATCTCTTGTTTAGAACTCCCAGAATCCCATAGACAGTTGAGAGGATTCTTGGAAATGGCAGGATTCTGCTGAATCTGGATTCCAATTTTGAACATATCGCTAACCTTGTATGACAAACTTTAAGGGAAGGAAAGAGATTATTCTGAATAGGATGGACAATGCCAGCAGGCCATTGAAGGACTAAAACAGCTTTTCCTTAGTACCCTGCACTACGATTACCTGATCTTGCTGATCTGATAGCCAATTATAGAATACAGCTTCGCCGCTGTCTGTTGTGGATCAGACACTGTGCTTGTCGCTCTGTGAGAAGTGTTTCTTGAGGTACCCCCCAGCACTAGCGCCTGGCGGAGCCCGTCGCCCCCATTTCACAGACGGGAAACCGAGGCCTGGGGAGGTTAAGCACCCTGCGAGAGTCGTGGAGGCAGTAAGAGGCGGAGCCAGGAGTCACCCTCAGGCCTGCGGCATCGCACTTAGTCTCTGCTTCTCTGTACTGACTGAGACGTGCAGGCAAAGCTCCATTCCGAAGGGCAGTGGGGGCGGGGGGCAGAGAAAGATCGTAAAGCCTGCACAGGGGCGACAGGCTCAGGCCTGGCTTGTGGGGAGGCTTTCTCCCCTTGACGGCAGCGGAGTCGGGCGGGGAGTGGGTGAGCAGGCAGAGAAGGTCCCTCAACCCTGTGCGTTATGAACTTCCTGTCGCTCCTCCTCTTAGCTTCCATTACGGGCTCTTGGCTTGGTGTTCTCTGCTTACGGATATGAATTTTGGAGTCCCAGCCCTTCGGTCCGAACCTCTGGCCCTCACACTCACCAGCTGTGAGAACTCTGGCGGAATGCTCTAGGCCTCCTAGCCTGTAAAATGCGAACGATAAATGCCCACCTGCCTTATAGGGTTGTCGTGGTGATTAAAAGAGAGGTGAAATACAAAGCGCAGCTAGAAGTGGCTGCGTTGAATGGGCATAAGGGGTATAGAGTGAAATGCTCACTCTCCCGGACTCTGAATTCTAGCCCGCGTTCCACCGTGGCCTTCGGGCGAGTAGCTCCTGCTGTATAGAGGAATTCTGCTTGAGACTTGAGGTTTTTGGCAGAGGTGCGCAGGCGCCCGAAGACTGGACTCAGATCGGCAGGGCCCACTGGACCAGGAACAAAGAGATTCTTAGAAATTTGGCACCCTTCCCTGGATCCCTGGTGGTGCCCAGGTGTCACGTACCTCTTGCTCCACCTTTCTCCCTTCCCTTGATGTAAAAGAAGCCTGAATTCCGTGCTCTTTTAAGGTGAATGCGTGGAAGATTTAGCCCGCCCCCCACCCCGCCCCGCCCCGCCCCGCCCGCCCCCACATCTCCTTGAGCTGGCGACTTCTTGGTCAACAACCTTTCCTCACTCCAAACCTTGACAATGTTTTTAACATTGGCCTTTAGAAACGGCAGGCCCGGGAACCTTGAGTAGGTAACAAGTGGTTATCAGTATTTCTGAATGTGCACGCACCCTCCGTTGGGCATGCCCACTTAAATGTCCTTTTTGAGTGAATTTGCACTCTCCTAAACTCTGAGTCCTCCAACGAGACTTTCAACCGGGGGGGAGAAATGGGCAGCAGCAGCTCGTCCTGGGCTCACCCCCTGAATCTGTCTCCAAGGTCCCCTTTTCTGTGGCTTTCCAGTGAGCTGACAGCAGCCCCGCGCTGGATCACTGCTTTCCTGTAAGGGTTCCAGAGAGCCAGAGCAGCCCCACCCAGGCTCCCTCCTGTTGCTTCTTCCATCCTAGGCCCTTCCTTATTTCACTCTCCCTAGCTTTAACAAACGCACTCTCAAAATTTAAAAACCAACCAACCAACCAACCAACCAACCAACCAAGAAAAACCCAAACATGTCTGAACGTCAGTGCCTAATATGGCCCTCTTGATACAATCTTTGCCTCCTCTGGACATACTGTCTTTCTTGGTGGTACTCTTCTCTCTCCACCTATCCTGCTACTTGGTGTTCTCTTGATCCATCTGCCCAATGAGTGCTTGCTGAGGGTTCTTGCCCCGGCCTTCTTTCCTTCTCCCTGATCCCTGGGTAGACTTCATCAAATTCCCCGACCTCTCTTCGTAGCTTATCTGCTAAGGGCTTCCCCCAAAGTATCTCCAGCTGAGCCCCTTTGCTGAAGAGATTATCACCCCTAACTCCTTGCGAATGTGTGCTTCTGCACGCATAGCAGGAATCTCAACTTCAACATCATAGGGGCCTTTATGCATCTAATTGATTCCAAAAGCGATTTCTTCTCCCTGAGTTCTCCACCTTAGCGCAATCTTCCGCCATCTCCCGGAGCTCCAGAGCTCCTCGGGTCAAGGGAAAGCTCCAAGGTCTCTTGCATCCTCCAAGTGCCTACGTCACCAAATCTTGTCAAGTTTACCTTCCGCCGTGACCTCAAATCTGTTGCTTCATCTCGTTTCACGCCTAGCCGCTGCCTCAGCTGAGGCCGCCATCGGCTCTGTGAAGGGGCCCAAAGTCCAATGAACAATACCAGTTCCGTGGCGGACTTTTCTTAGAACCAGGTTGGACACGATGGGGCTTTTTAAATGAATGCGAGTTGCTCTTTTGCTTGATTTTCTTTTCAGGCTTACCGGAAAGTGGGAAATTACTTATGTACCTGAAACAATTACATTTTGACCTTGACATGAAAATAAAATTAGGTACTACTTAGCTCTAGGTTCAAAGGCATTCCAAAAGTTTCCTATTAAGCCTGGGAAGTCTGGCGTTCACAAGACAGTGGCAAAAATGCCAGCTTTGTCCTCTTGCCAAAAAGGTGTCAAAGCTGTCAGTAAAACGCCTGTGGCAATTCGAGGACCCCTGAAGGAACTGGAGAATTCCTTAAAATCTTCCCAGAATATACCCTCCAGTGAGAGCCAGATTTTGTAGCCTACCTAGGCCGTACAGAAGGGTTAAAAAGTTGGAGAGCGCCTGCGCAATCAGTTCACTATCGACTATGCTTGCTAGGTTGCGGGAACTGTTGCCCTGAGGTGTTTTTCTCCAGGGCCGGAAGGTGAAGATGAGGGAACTGCCAGAAACCGCCTGAGACCTGTGGCAGCTGCTCGGTTACGGGGTCGAAGCTGCCTGAACACCCGCCTCCAGTGCGCTTTCCTCCTTATACCCGGCCACCGCTAATCTCCAGTCGAGGTGGCCCTCCTCCTCCGTTTCCCGTCCTTGCGACGCAAGTCCGGCCGTGTCCGTGCGCTGCGCGCGCTCGCCCCCAGACCTCCCCCGATGCGCCGCGTGGTCAGCGGCCGGCCCGGGAAAGCGCTGCAGTCCTTCCCGCTGGGGGAGGCACGCTGCTTTGGGAAGGCTCCCCGGTGCGCCGCTCGTTCGTGTGCGCTGGCTCGTTGGCTTGCGATCAAGGTCCTGCTAAGAAAATCAGCTTGGCGTGGTGATTTGGCTGACACCTCCCGGTTCGATTCGGAAACAGGTTCTGATGCCCTAACTTTGTCGAGGGGGCGGGGGGTGCAAATCCCCAAGACGTGGCTGCTGACAGACAAGGCAGCGGTGTCCTGCCAAGGCCTGACCCTCTGGAGGGTGAGAGATGTTGGATCGGGTAGGCCGTAGTTCCTCAGAAAGCGAGTGTGCACACACCCGTTGGCGCTGCCTGGTGTTTCCCGGGCTCTGCGTGTGGGCAGGCGGCTCAGTCAAGCCGAGCAGAGAACCCTTCCGCGGTCCCACGGTCGAGGCCCTGGAAGAGAGATCGATGATTACAGACAAGGCCCTGCCCTTAAGGGTCTCACCTCTGACAGCAAACGAGAAGAGCCCAAGCAGGGAGGGCCTCCGCTGTCCCACAGTAGTGAGGGACCGGGCCTTAGACTCCCCAGCGCCGCTGCTCCTCTGCCTTCTTTCGCCCGTTCCCCTTCCGCACCCTGCGATCTCCGAGTTTGGTGAGTGAGCGCTCCGCTGTCGTGGCAGGAAGAAGGGAGGAGAAGAAGGGCGAAGGCAGAACACAGCCATTCCCACTAAGCCGGGGGACCCCTGAACTGCCGTAGCCGTGACAGCATCTGCGCAGGCCAGTCGTCAGATCTCGGGGCCTCTGGGAGGTCTTGGATATCTTTGGCATTTTGAGTTTTCGCTTTTAAATCCGATTTAGTACCAGTTCAGGGGAGTTTGGTCCTGAGGAGGAAGGGCGCTGACGTGGAACTGTACGCGCTGGAATGTCACGCACTCTTGAGAACTCCAGGCAGCACTTTCGAAAACAAACGTCAATGGGTGAGATGGGAGAGATGGGTGGGATGCGGGGTGCGAGGGTGCCGGCCCCGCCCAGCCGCCCGGCGCCGAGTCGCTGCTGTTTCTGCTTGTAACTCACAAAGCACAGATCCTGCGGACCCCATTGTGGGTCGTGGGTCTGGGTGGGGAATGGGGCCCCGGGCAGAGATCAAGGGGGCCTGTGTTTGCTCGGCGTGCCGCCACAGTAACAGAGCACCCCAGACGGGGTGGCTTACACAAGAGAAACTCATTTGATCACATTTGATCACAGTTCTAGAGGCCGGACGTCAGAGATCCCGATCACGATTTCGGCAGGTTTAGTTCCTCTCGATGTCTCTCCTTGGCTTGCAGATGCAAGCTGTGCTCTGGCTGTCCTCACATAGTTGTCCCTCTGCGTTGTCTCTGTCCTGATCCCTTCTTCTTGTTTTTATTTTTTATTTTAAATTCTTAGAGCCAATGCTTTGCTTGGTTGTTTGTTTGTTTAAAGATTTTAATTTATTTATCTTTAGACAGAGGGGGGAGGGAGGGAGGGAGGGAGGGAGAAAGACAGGGAGAGAAACATCAGTGTGTGGTTGCCTCTCGCACGCCCCCGACTGGGGACCCGCCCGCAACCCAGGCGTGTGCCGGGACTGGGAATCGAACAGGGGACCCCTCGGCTCCCAGGCCGGCGCTCAATCCACTGAGCCACACCAGTCGGGGACTGGTCCCTTCTTTTTATAAAGACACCGCTCGTGTTGAATTGGGGCCCATCCCGATGACCCCATTTTTAACGTAATCGCTTCTTCAAAAGTCCTGTCTCCCAATGCTGTCACACTCGGCCTTCAACAGATGAATGTCCATACCAACAAAATGGAGACTAAACCTGGGCATTAAGGAGACCTCCGCGTACCACTGCACCTCCCTCGCCGCTCCCCGCTTCCCAACCCCCGACCAGGCGTCGGCTGCTCTGGAGATGGGCTCGTCCGACTGTCATTCAGTCTAATGATGGGAACTGCTTTTGTTGCCCTTCTCGGTAACTACGGTTCGGAGCCTGGGATCCTCTCGTTGATATGAAACCCGGCGCTGGTTCTCTCGTCTCTTCCCCATCTCTGGCCTCCATTTGCCCTTCGGGTCTTTTCCCCCCGGGAGGGGAAATATTAATGCCTCGGCGGGGGGGGGGGGGGCGCCCAGATGGCGAGAACGGGAAGAAAACAGCTGCGGGATCCGGAAGCCGCGGCTTGGGATCAGACTGCGGCGGACAGGGTCCGCTAGAGGGCGGTGTCGGGGGTGGGGAAAAGGGGTAGGACTCGCGAGAAAAGAAATGAGACACTGCGGAGGGGCGGGGACAACTTCGACCCCGCTTCCCGCCCGCGCGCTTTCGGGTTTTCAATCCGGTCCGAGACGCTTGTATATCAGGGGCAGAGCTGCCCTCGCCGGCACTGAGGCTTGTGAGCTCAGACCGCGGTAGTCATGTCTGGGAGAGGAAAGGGAGGTAAGGGCTTGGGCAAAGGTGGGGCCAAGCGTCACCGCAAGGTCCTGAGGGACAATATCCAGGGCATCACCAAGCCCGCCATCCGTCGTCTGGCACGGCGTGGGGGAGTCAAGCGGATCTCGGGACTCATCTACGAGGAGACCCGGGGTGTGTTGAAGGTGTTCCTGGAGAATGTCATTCGGGACGCAGTGACTTACACGGAGCACGCCAAGCGCAAGACGGTCACTGCCATGGACGTGGTGTATGCCCTGAAGCGACAGGGACGCACCCTTTATGGCTTTGGAGGTTAGGCGGCGGCCGTGGCGGCGGCTGCTGCTGGCTTAAGCGTGCGGCAATTCCAAAGGCCCTTTTTAGGGCCACCCATATAGTCCTTTGGAGGAGCTGGGTACAGCGTGTGTTTACGTGTGTGTCGCGCTTTGGGGCTGGGTCGTTGACGCGACTGCGTCTGTTTTTGCTGGCTGAGCGTTCCCTCGTTAAGTCTGCTGGCGTTGGACTGAACAATGGGGTTGAGGCCTTCCCCGTCTAGCTGCAGCTGCGCGGCTGTGTCCGTACTTAGGTGTTCAGGGACTAGGGGAAGGCGCTCCACAACAACCGAAGTGCGGATTCGGCCGGTCCGGACAGTGTTTCTTTCATGAATCGAGCTCGGTGTAACTGGAGTCCACGTTCGCCTCGAAGAGTACCCCTCAGGGACGGGGGTGGTGGGGGCCTGGGATTGAGGCGGGACCTTACGCTAGCCACGCTAGCGTCCGTCCTGTCTCTGGGGCGCTCTTTCGCTCTGCTTTCCCGGCTGGGGGGCCGCGGGGGTGGGGGGTGGGGGCTGGCAGGACGCGAGGTGCCTCCTCCGCTGTGTTCTGCATCGGGGGCTCCTGTTGACGCGAGGATGCCGGCAGAGGAGTTTGCTCGTAGCTTCCTGAGAGGATGTTGTGCTCCATCTTGAAGCGCCACATCATACCAGTTTCCTTTTGGGCGCGTTACCCACGTTGGCTGTCGTATTACTGGGCCGTGGGGAGTTTAAAGCAGCAAAACGAGGCAAGGTCAAGCCACCCTCACTGTTCGTCTCAAGGCAGCCCCAGACTTGCGGCCCCGAGGGGGCCAGTTCTGCCACTTGATCGTTTTGGATTTCACGGGCCATTCTGTTTGGGTTTCCCTTCCCAGTCCTGCAGTGAGGGAGTTAGGCCAGGTGGCTTAGGGGAGCCTGTTCACACCGGACGCTGTTTTGTGCCACTCACTGCTCGCTTGAAATGGCGCGAGCGCACCTGCAAAATCAGGTCCAATCAACAGCCACTCGGAAGTCAAGGAGGAAGAGAAATACAGGTTATTAGATCACAGGTGAACTCACTAGTGCAACTTTATTTTTTTTTTTTTTAAGACGTTATGTATTTATTTTTAGAGAGAGGGGGAAGGGAGGGAGAAAGAGGGAGAGAAACACGAATGTGTGGTTGCCTCCTGTACGCCCCGCCCCCCCGGGACGACCTGGCTAGCAACCCAGGCATGTTCCCTGACTGGGAATCGAACTGGCGACCCCTGGGTTCGCAGCCCGGCACTCGATCCACGAAGCCACATCAGCTAGGGCCGTTACTGCAGTTTTAAAACAAGTCTGGCGAGGCGTCTGGCCAGTGCGTGAAAAGTATTCTTGGTTTCAAACTGCGTCCTGGTAATTTTCTCTGTCGCCGTGGTCTTCAGTTGCCGGCTGTGACCCATGAGCAGGTGACAAGATCAACGTAGAAAATGGGAGCCGGTATCTTGAATTAAGGAGGCAGAACAGGGTTGAAACTATCCCAGGTGAAAAACCGATCCTTTTGTACATCTTTGTGTCATTTTTTTAGGTGTGTGTGAACGTGCAGTAGGTAGTAATATGAAATTACCTGTTACTGTAGTCTGGGATCAGAAATCAGAGCTACTGTATGTATACAGAGTGATACTGTGCCTCTATAATATGTAAGGATTATGTACTGTTTTCTTCTGAAACAATGTCGTGTAAAGCAAAACCATAAGGCTCGGGCTCAAGTTCTACCCCCACCTCATGCCATCTTCTGACTGTGCGCGGGCCACGCATTCCCAGGTGTTCCTTCCTCACCAGGTTTAGTGCCTTCAGCCATTCACCAGGAATAAAACAAAGTCCCGCCCTCCCTCCCCCGGTTATTGTGAAATTGAAAGAGAGGAGGCGGGTTGAAAGATGGAGCCGTAAGCCATCTAGGATCCTGGGTTGTTTTTTACTGCCCATGCCTGGCAGTCTGGAAGCTGGTCCCGTGTTTAAGATTATTCACCAGTTTGTGTGTGCGTGTGTGTTTTAATGGAGCGACTGCATAACGGCGGGGACTTGCAATGGTGGGAAATCGTGACCCACCCCGCTGTTCTTTTAGACATTGTTTCTGTTAAGTGCTGGCTCTGACTAATGTGTAGCAGCTTGTAGCTGAACGCCATGTTTGTATAGGAGCCCTAGGAACGAACTTCAGAAGATACAGACCGCGACCCTGGAGCATCGCCGCTCCGGGAGATTTGCTGACCTTTGTCCATCCGTGGAGCCAGGATGACGTGAAGCCGGGACGACGCACACGGGACGGTCACTTGCCTTATCGGAATGGACTGCGCTCACCTGCACGTAGAGGACTTTTCGACCCCCCTCCCTTGATCTCTTTGTCCTGTTCCCCCGTCCCTCCTTATAAAAACCTCTTCCTCCACTGAGAGGTGGAGATGGGCTTTGAGTTGTGAGTGCCCCATCTTCCAGGTGGCCAGCATTTGAAAATAAACCACTTCCCTTTACATCAAGCACCTGCCTCTCGAGTACTGGCTTTCCTCGCAGCAGGCAGCCGGACCCGCTTTCGGTTACGATTGTAATCTAGGTTTACATCAGTTGATGTTAACGTCACTAGTACTTACGTCATGGATGCTGATGCTATCGATAGGTTTGTGACTGCACGTAAGGCTCTGCTCTAAGCCCGTTGTGTGTGGACCATACTCTCTCTTTTCATCCTCACAGCGCTCTGGGAGTGAGCGCAATTAGGATGCTGCTCTACGCGTGAGGACGTGGAGGTCCCGGTCTGTTTTTCCCTGGAGCCTTTCCCTGGTTGTGGGTCGGGAGCTCTGGCCCTGCCCTTAAGGGGCCTCAGGCCTTAACCACTCCCTCCCACCCCCCCCCTTCCCCGCCGTAGCAGTGAGGCGAGGACCCTAGGGTTCTGTTTCCCATCCCCTTTCTCTTCTCTGTCATCCTTTTTCCTTTTCCTGCCTTTCTTTATGTACTTCACCCTCAGCCCCCGATCGTACCCCAGTCCCCTACCGCATCCCTGGATAATTCTGTGAGCAAGGCTGAACTTGATGTCTTTGGCGGTATGAGAACAGACATTCTCCCCCAGATCACCTGCATTCAGGCACAGGCAGGGGTGCAGCTCCTTGGACTCTTTTCTCAGTTACTCTCCCCGGGAGCAGGCTAAGCCTGGGACTGTGGCCGTTTGTGGGCTTTCCGTATTGCGTGACCCTGCCAAGGAACTTGGAAGTTTCTCCCAGAGGTCCGGTCCAGGCCTGCTCTTGGTCTGCTAACTTCAAAGAGCTCCAAGAGTGGAGCGGGGCGGGGCGGGGCGGGGGGGGGGGGGCGGCGGCGGCGCATCTCGAGATGCCCAGCTCCCTCACATAAGGCAAAGAGCCAACGGGTAGGCCCCTCCTCCAGCATTTCCTGACCAGCTACGCTGTGGCCAGCACCGCTTGGGTGCTGGTGCCACAGAGATGAATGAGGACAAATCCTTACCCCGAGGAATGCCCTCAGCCTAATGGCCGAGGGTGAGGGAGTAGGAAGGGGTGTTGTTAGCACGGGACAGGGGGAGAGGCAGGGAGGAGGGCCCAAAGAGATGAGGGTGCAGAGGAGAGAGGGAAGGGCCTGAATCTTGAAGAGCTGGGGCTCTCAGGGCTCCAAAAAAGGGGGCAGGGCATTCCACACAGAAGCAACAGGGATGCGTAAAGGCGTCGTACACTTGGGGACCGCAGATGTTCTGTGGGGTCGGAGCCTACCGGTTCAGCTGGCAGAACACCTGAAACCTGGGGAGGCTCTGAGAAATACGAGGAGCTAGATGCATATTAAAAATAATTTTCCTTGGGATGTTTTAGATTTAATAACTATCCACAGAATAGCTAAAACAAATTGAACGCTTATTCTGGAGCAGACACTGTGCTAGGTACTTTTTGAGAAGCGTCACTTTTAATATCTCCGACAACATCATTGGCAAGATGCTGCTGTCGCTCGCCGTTTTGACAAATGGGGAAGAGCGAAGCCTACAGAGATTTCCTTGCCGAAGCCACATACCTGTTCTGTTGTATGGGCAAGACCAGGATTTTAGCCGCCAGTGCTCTGAACTGCTGTGCGAAAGGAGGTGGACTTCACTCGGAAGGGAATTGGGAAGGAGGTGGGAAATTTGTAAGCATTTAGAGAAAAGACTTCTCATACAGAGTGAAAGCTTAGCGGCAGGGCAGAGAGTCTGTCGGTTAAGGGAGGGACCATGGATGGATGGAGGGAGGGAGGGTGACAGAATTGAAAGTCAGAGAGCGGATTTGATAACATTTGTTGACTCGTGAGACTTGGACGAAGGAACTTCTGCCCTGAGCAGGTTAACTACGGGGGGGGGGGGGGGGGGGAGCTGAAGGTGTCTCTCATTTAAGTTGAGAAATATGGAAGGGGAAAAGTAGCTTGGGGGAGCAAGATGATGCAGTTTTGGAAAAAAGCTGAGTCTGGAGCACCTATTATCCATCCGGAAGGACCTAGCCAACAAGGCAGTTAGAAAAATATTGGTGTGGAGCTCAGGACAGGGGTCTCAGCAGGAGTACCGACTTGGGAGCACTTGTCAGAGGCAGAGACACGGAAAGCAGGGGATCCGCGATCTCACGGGTGCTGCAGGGAGCGAAGAGACAAAGGCCGGCGTGGGTTGAAACCACGATATTGATGGGCCTGGCGGAGAAAGAGGCGGAGGCCTGGAGAGAAGAGTAAGGAGGACGACCGGCAGAGGGTGTGGACCCAAAGGCCGAGTCCCCTGCCGAGGAAGCGAAGGTGTCAGCAGGGCCACAGTACCGCGCAGTTTTGCTCTCCACGCGCACATGCACCAGTCCCTACTGCCCCAAGGCAGAATTCAGTCAGAACGCAGACTTTTTCCACTTCGTAAAAACAGGGTAGACTTTTCCTGCAGCCAAGCTAGCCGTACATACAAGAAGCCAATTATCAGAGGAAGAGCATTTATTGACCTTGTCCTTCATTCTCTTTTAACTCTCATCTGAGAGTAGAGAAGTGATTTAAGTACAGAAATCATTAAGTGTTAAAACCTATATCTTAAATGGTTCTCTTGTATTGATGAATTCAAGTTTGTGCCAGTCTCCCAAACAAGTAGAAAGATTTGAAAGGCTTCTGCGAGGGTGGGTAGGCCTTTACAGTGACAGGAACACAAAATTTTACTCTATTCTTGACTGGATGTCAACAATGCTATTAAATTTGAGATTTAGGCAGGGAGGCTTCCTGGGGGGGGCGGGGCCTGGAGGGCGGGGCGAAGGCTGGTAAAGGAAAGCTGTGCGATCTGAAGGGCCGGTGCGGGGGCGGGGGGAGAGGAGGGGAGGGGAGGGGAGGGGAGGGAGGGGGGGAGGGGGAGGGGAGGGGAGGGGGGAGGGGCAGGCAGAGGACCGACACCTGATACCGGCATCTCAGGTTC